AAAAAAAAAACCAAATAGGGACGTATACTGGATTCAGACAAAAGTCACTCCAATGACTCTCTAGATTGAGGTAATTTTCTTTCTTAATTATAGAAATAAATTAAGGAAAAAACCAGCAGCACCTAGGTAAAAAAAAACAAAACCTATAAGGAAACAAAAATTAGTCTAACTTCTTCTCTGTTACAGTGCCAGAAGATGCATCTACAGGCTTTTCAAAGGAAGCATGACAAGAATCGTGACTTTAGTGGTGTATTCCTCCCCCCCCAGGCCTTCTACTTGTGCATTCCCAGGGCCTGGCAAAAAGCCCATGTGAACAAACACCAATGATCCAAGGGTACAAGTCAAAGGGAGTTCTGTGTACGCTCTAGTAGAGGAGCAGATCTGTACTGTCCTTACTCCGTTATCTGTTTTCCTTTTGGAATTTAGGACTCTTTCACTAGAAAATAATGTGGATAATATTACAGGTTGAAATTCTGATTTTATTTCAAAATGATAAATGGAGGCAGAGTTCTGACCATGTACTACTTCCGCAGGGCTTGTGAAGTTAGGGAAACAGTTCCATGGGGACTCCAGTCAGACCCAGAATGTCACCAACAACACTTGTGACTGGCAGAGATAGCCTCTTTGATCTTCAGGGATTTTTTTTAAAAAGTTCTCCATCCTAATTTCTGAATTACATAAAAAGTAAAAAGCACTTTCATTTTGTCATTTTTTTCCTTGCAAATGTTTTAAGTGGCAAACAGGACTACTTCATTCTTAGGAGCATAGTAGTTATATGTCAACTTACTTAAAATTAAGAGAGGGAAAAATCCAGAGACCTCTGAGTGGCACTGCTCACCCACTGAAGGTCTACATAAATAGGTACTCATGTTCATGTTATCACTTCTACAAAGAGCAATAAAATAATGCTTATAAATCAAAATACAGTAGTAGGAGTTCACACATATTTGATGCTTTCACATGAGGATTCAGTAAACAAGAATAAATATAATTTCCCCTCTTCAAAACAAAAAAGGATTTATACGGAAAAAAGGGTTAATTTACGTGGGTTTGTCAGCACGCCATTTTTAATGTGCTTTGAAAGAATTAAAAACCATGAAGCTGTATTCATTGAATACTGGTCCATAGTTACAGTTTTTCTTTTAACCTGGCTTAAATACATACATCATGGCTTTCTACTAAAATCCTTAAATCTATGGGAATTTGTGGTAGATAAGACTATATTAAAAATTTTTTTCCTCATTAACAATTTCATTAAATTAAAAAAAATCATTTCCCTTAAATGATAAGTTGAAGCCTGATCTATGCTGCTGTGTCCTGTGAAATGAACCTAATTTTCCAAGTCAATAGGAATGCCTGAGTGGCCATTTACAGTGCTGCATTTTCCTTCCCTCATGATTCCTGCTGGGTCCTCTTCGCTGAGGCTTTTCCCTGAGTCATGTATTTACTGGAAAGGCTACCTAGAGGAGGGGAAGAAACAAAATCCAACATAAATAAAACAAGCCTCACTTTATCACAAAAGCCATAAAATTACCTCTTACTGTTAGCCACAGAAACTTTCCACACTGGAATTGGTCTTTTGCTTCAAATCAAGTAATTAGACTAGATATAAAAAAGGTATATACCAACAAACATGATCTATGAAACATAAGCTTAGGCAAAGTTCCTTCTAAATGGAGACAAGTTTCTCAAGTGGCATCATTTTAATATATCTGCATGTTAGGTAATTCCACATCGGTGCAGAGGGCCAGATGAACCAAACTTTTCAAAGACTCTTCTTGGCACAGATTAGTATCTTCATTTGCAACCAAACGGAATAGACTGCAATAGATTCTCTGGCCAGAAATAAGTATCTTGTATCATGACTGTGCAAATACGAACCTGTAGATGGTGACGTTGTAGTACTAACATTGACATTAAAGGAAAAATGGAAATTATATTTACAGGCGAAGGGTAGGAATGAGGATTGCTAATTAAAACCATATCATAAAAGAGTTACTAAATTTTGTTCTATAGTCTGAACAAATGTAGGTAATAAGAAAGTCAGGACAGAGACCAAGGCTATGTATAGATGGAGACAAGAGACTGGAGTGATGCAGCTACAAGCTGAGGAATGCCAAGATTGCTGGCAGCCACTAGAAGCCAGTAAAAACTGAGGAAGAATTCTTCCCTAGAGCATCTGGAGGAAATGTGGCTTTCACCTCCTCACACCTTGATTTTTTAGACATCTGTCTGCCCCCCCCCCCCAAATGGAAGAGGATAAACTTTTGATGTTATTAGCTAAACTGTTTTAGGTACTTTGTTACAGCCTAAGGAAACTAATATAAGCCGTTTGCCCCTGACCTCAGTTCTCTGATAATCTAAGAGTTGCTGTGTTTTAGTTTTCTTCTTATGAGGATAGGAGTGATAACTTCCAAGTTCTTCGTGTGTTACAGCAGAAACCAGAAGTCTATATTGAGTTTTAATAAATTTCTTAAGATGATCATAAATTTTTCTGTTAATAAGATGTATTCCTTAATAGATTTTAAGGATCCTCACATTCCAAACTTGACCCTAACATACTGTTTTTTCTTAACACTACTGATTTCTGCACTGATTTTTTTCTGGAATTTTGGCACCTATGATGAAAAATGGCTTTGTTTAATAATTTTTATCATCCAGTTACAGTATCAATGCTGTAATACCCTCAAAAAATAAACTGAGTAGACTTCCTTCTTTGTCTAATCTCAGTTTATATACAATAGAGATTTCTTTGATGACTAGGTGTAGAGTGACCGTCCATCCTATTTTGCCCAAGACTGTCCCAGTTTAGCATTACAAATGCAATGTCCCAGAAAATCTCAGTCCTATACCAACCAGAACAATTGGTCACCTTAGCAGATGAAACTCCACTCGTCTATTTTGATGCTGGGGTAAGAGGTAGGAAGATTACTTTTATGTCTCAATATTGCCTTAGCTGTACACATTGCAGTTCATTATCATTGTCACTTGATTGTGCATATTTTTGTAATTGGCATTGTGATTTACTCTTTAATTCAAACATAAAGAATTTTCCTATCTCCTTTTTAATGTGGATTTCTAATTTAATTGCTCGTGGTCAGAAAACATGACCTGCATGATATCAATTCCTTTAACTCTGAAACTTCTTATTTATTTATTTATTTTTTTAGAGACAGAGTCTCACTTTATCACCCTTTGTGGAGTGTAGTGGCGTCAAAGCTCACAGTAACCTCCAACTCCTGGGCTTAGGAGATTCTCTTGCCTCAGTCTCCCGAGTAGCTGGGACTACAGGCGCCCGCCACAACGCCCGGCTATTTTTTGTTGCAGTTTGGCTGGGGCTAGGTTTGAATCCGCCACCCTTGATATATGAGGCTCCACTGAGCCACAGGCGCCACCCAGAGACTTCTTTTGTGACATTAGAGGATGATCAAATTTTGTGATGTTTCCAGATTACCTGAAGCATTTATATGTAGAAAAGGAGAGTTATTTTTGATGATTGTGGATAGGAATTTTCTGTATCTTTGTTAATTTTTGGTATGCTTTGCTTAATAGTTTCTATCACTTTGTGGTTTTTATTTGTTTCTCCTTGTAATTCTGTCAGTGTTTGGTTATCTATATATAATATACACAGTATTATATATAATGTTTAAAGCTTATGTTATTAAAGGCAAACATATTTATAATTGTTACATCTAAAAAAAAAAAAGAAAGAGGGTGGTGCCTGTGGCTCAAAGAAGTAAGGCACTGGCACCATACAGATACTAGAGGTGGTGGGTTTAAACCCAGCCCCGGTCAAAAACTGCAAAAAAGAAAAAAAAAAAAAGAAAGAAAGGCAAGTGGGGTGGCTCACACTTGTAATTCTAAAACTCTGGAGGCTAACGCAGGATGGCTTGAAGCCAGGAGTTTGGGACCAGCCAGACCAATATAGCAAGCTCTACTTCAGAACAAACAACCCCCCCAAAACAAACAAACAAACAAAAAACCAAGCCTAGTGTGGTATTTCCTATAGTACCAGCTACTGTGGAGTTTGAGGCAGGAGGATCTTATGAGCCTAGGAGTTTCAGGCTGCAGTGAACTATGATGCTGCCACTGCACTGTTCTAGCCTGGGCAACAGAGGAAGACCCTGTCTCCAATTAAAAAAAGGGAGTATAAGTAGTAATGAGTATTTATGTAATGGGGAGTGGACGAGCTTTCTAAGCACACCACCAACTACTACACATAATGTACTTACAAGTCAATAGAGAAAAGGTGAACAAACAATAGATAACTGGGTAATGAAAAAGAAAAAAAATTGTATGAGTATTTGAAAAAAATTTAATATCAATGTGTAATCCAAAAGTGTAAATTAAAATATCAATATCTGATTATCAAGTTGTTAGAGGAAGATGATCAGGAAGACAAGAAGGTGGTAGAAATTTTGCTAACTAAGTAGTCATAAAATATTTTAATAATTTAAGAATGTAAGCAACTTAAATATCTCAAATTTATGATATGACTAAGTAAATCATGAACTATATACATAATAGAATACTAGGTATACATAGAAGGATAATTAATATGAAAAACATGAAATCATAAAATTACATGAATATCATTTCATAAAAACTAAAAATTAAAAACAAACACAAAAACCTGCCAATCATATAGTGTCACCTCATTTATCTTATCTGTAAAATGAGGACAATACCTACTTGCTTTGGAGTTACTGTGAAGATTATAGGAATTAATACATGTCAAGCAAATAGAACAATACCCGGCACATAAAGTCCTCAATAAATGTTAAATATTAATTACATTAATGCCAAAAAGACAAGAAAACTTTACCTCCAAAAAGTGAATAGTACTTAATGACAGAATGAAATGATAGAATGGAGGGAGTAAGATGGTTTTTATTTTCTTCATTTAGCTTAACTATACTTTCTAAATTTTCCAAAGAAAATGTATCAGGGAAATTAATACTATCAGTTAGGAAGAAACAAAGCACTGTATTATTTACACCACAGTATCATGGTCTATAGGTCTATCCTTGATATTCTGCACTAAGTATTGAGAATAGGCTTTTCAGTAGAAGGAAAAAAATTAGATCACTACCTTATACTTTATACACATCTAATTCCAGCTGGATTAAAGATAAACAGATTTAGATATCTTTATGACCTTAGGTTAGAAGATTTCTTAAAGATATCCCTAAATCATGAACCATATGATCACAAAAATTAATAGCAGAAAACCAAATAATTTGATTATTTCAAAATTAAAAACTTGGGAGTAGCAACAGACACAAAAAGTTGAAACATGGACAGGTGTGGTGGCTCACGCCTATAATCCTAGCACTCTGGCAGGCCAAGGCAGGTGGATTGCCTTTGAAACCAGCCTGAGCAAGAGCGAGACCCCATCTCTAAAAATAGCCAGGTGTTGTGGTAGATGCCTATAGTCCCAACTACTTGGGAGGGTCAGGCAGGAGAATCGCTTAAGCCCAAGAGTTTGAGGTTGCTGTGAGCTGAGGCCAACATAGTGAGAATCTATCTCAACAAACAAACAAACTAAAAAAAACTAAAATCACTATGTGATTTTTGGTCATGTAATTAAGCAATCTGAGTGGCAATGTTATAATACATCTTTTGTTGCCAAATTAATAAGGAACACTGTTTCACTTACGTAGTTAAGTAGTATTGATCCAAAGGGACATGGGGGAGAAAAATCCCACCTTTCTTATCAAATGAACATTGTTTTATATCAGTTAACATAAAAAGTTATTTTAATCAAAATTTATAATATTTGTTTTGATCAATTATACAATCAGGCATGCTAATTGTGAAAACTTGTTGTAGGAAAAATTTTTATACTTTGAGATTTAATAAAAAGCTTAAAACTACTTTGTATATGTTTGTTGCTGGTTAAGTAAGATAAACTTGAAAATATGCATAATAAAAATATATCATGTCATGATAAAATCCTGTTGAGGAAGTACAACAAAGGAATTCAAAGAGGAAAGGGAAATGATGTAATATTTCTGTTAAAGAAGAGCTGTAGGGCCGCGCCTGTGGCTCAGTGGGTAGGGCACCAGCCCATATACCGAGGGTAGCGAGTTCGAACCCTGCCCTGGCCAAACTGCAACAAAAAAAATAGCTGGGTGTTGTGGCGGGCGCCTACAGTCCCAGCTACTCAGGAGACTGAGGCAAGAGAATTGCCTAAGCCCAGGAGTTGGAGGTTGCTGTGAGCTGTGATGCCACAGCACTCCACCAAGGGCAACAAAGTGAGACTCTGTCTCAAAAAAAGAAAAAAAAGAAGAGCTGTAAATGAATAATGGTGGCATGAAAAAACAATGACACTTGTATTTCATTAAACACATTTAAAGCTAAAAGTTTTATTTTAAAATGTCAGTATTTATAACTCCCCCAATTATGTAGTTGGCAATTATGATGAAAAATTTAGATATAAACTTTAAAAATGTGTAAG